GTCAGCCCAGAAAAACATCTGAGGCAGCTCCAAACCTGATGCTCAGGGAGTTGTTGTTTATATTTCCCCTATTGTTTTGTGAGTATCTTTTAAGATCTCGACCTCCAGCTGAAAACACAGAGAGGATAAAGAGAAAACCCCTTTAGAACTTCAAAATAAACCAGAGATTAAAACCCAGAGAGGTTTAGAGCAGAGATCAGCACCTGGATAGCACATCCCAGCTCCTGCAAAGGGAATTATCCAGTCAGCCCAGATAAATATCAAAAGCAGTTCCAACATCCAAACCCAGTGTGGTTGTTTGTATTTCACCCTTTGTTTTGTATCTTTTAAGACCTTGACTTCTAACTGAAAGCATGGAGGGGATAAAGAGAAAAACCCTTCAGAACTTCATCATAAACCAGAAATTAAAACCCAGAGAGGTTTAGAGCAGAGATCAACCCCTGGACAGGACACCCCAGCTCCTGCAAAGGGAATTATCCAGTCAGCCCAGAAAAATATCCAAAGCAATATCCAACACCAGAACTCAGTGCCCAGGCTGTGCCTGTTTATATTTATCCCTTGTTTTGTATCTTTTAAGACCTCGATCTCGGATGGGATAAAGAGAAACCCTTCAGAACTTTATAATAAACCAGAAATTAAAACCTGGAGAGATTTAGAGCAGAGATCAACACCTGACAGAGGCTGGACAGCACACCCCCGCTCCTGCAAAGGGAATTATCCACTCATCCCAGATAAATATCCAAGGCAGCTCCAACATCCAAACCCAGTGTGGTTGTTTGTATTTCACCCTTTGTTTTGTATCTTTTACAACCTCGACTTCTAGTTGAAAGTACAAAGGGAATAAAGAGAAACCCTTCAGAACTTTATAATAAACCAGAGTTTGAAACCTGGAGAGGTTTAGAGCAGAGATCAACCCCTGGACAGGACACCTCAGCTCCTGCAAAGGGAATGACCCAGTCAGCACAGAAAAACATCTGAGGCAGCTCCAAACCTGATGCTCAGGGAGTTGTTGTTTTTATTTCCCCTATTGTTTTGTGAGTATCTTTTAAGACCTTGACCTCCAGCTGAAAACACAGAGGGGATAAAAAGAAACCCTTCAGAACCTCATCATAAACCAGAGCTTAAAACCCGGAGAGGTTTAGAGCAGAGATCAATACCTGGCCGGGGCTGGACAGCACACCCCAGCTCCTGCAAAGGGAATTACCCAGTCAGCCCAGAAGAAATCCAAAGCAATATCCAACACCCAAACTCAGTGCCCAGGCTGTGCTTGTTTATATTTCACCCCTTGTTTTGTATCTTTTAAGACCTCGATCTCGGATGGGATAAAGAGAAACCCTTCAGAACTTCATCATAAACCAGAGTTTAAAACCCAGAGAGGTTTAGAGCAGAGATCAACCCCTGGACAGGAATCTCAGCTCCTGCAAAGGGCATTCCCCCAGACCCCAGAGTTATTTCCATACCTTGCAGCTCCCCGCTCCTGCTGTACAGTTCCCTCCTCTGCTCCCGCAGGTACGCGCTCATGCTGATGGCGTGGGACGACGACTCAAACCTGCAATTCAGAGGGATTCGGTCAGTCCAGTCCCTCAGCCAGCCCTGGGAGCATCTTAGCAAGGTAAAAATGGAAATATATTCACCTCCTGGAAATTAGGGACAGATTAATTATTAAATATTTATTGTACGGCTGTAATAATCCACAAGGATCAATGCAAATATTTTCCACTGCTTCTGTCCCAGGGAGAAGGGAGCTCGTGGTGGGGACAAAGAACCTTCAAACAGTGGACAAAAGACTTGGAAAGGAAATTTCTGTCAYAGGAGGATCCCAGACATTGATGATTTGCTGTAAATCCCTCACTCCTGCCCCAATCTGAGTTAAGGAGGATGGAATCACTCAGAGGGACTGTGGGAACACGAGCAGCACACCACAGACAGGGGAAAAGCATTTCACAGCTTTGCTGGGCAAATGTTAAGATTATTACCACTGTTAAGATTATTACCATTAATGAGCCTTTTCTGCTTTAATTTGGGCTGTGAGTGTCGGGGTTATTGCAACTGGATTAATTATGATTTATCCAAATAAACCCAACCCTTCAGACTTCAATRAAATGAGCTGTGAATTTGTGCCTCTGCACTCACTGCTCCCCTCAGGATTATCCACAGGGTTTTTTCAGGCACCAAACTCAGATCCCATCCCTTCTTTCCCACAACCATCCAGTTCCTCTCCCCCATTTCCCTTCCTCTGCTCTTCCCCATATTTTCATCCCCACTGAACTCCTCCACCCCTGAAGCTCCTTCCCCAGTGCTGATCCTCCCACAAAGCTCTCAAAACATTTTTATTTGGAATTGCACAAATAATTGCATAGAATTACAGCCAAATCTGGTGCTGATTTATGGGATGGTACAATTGATCCCAATGTCCAATTTCCATCCTGCAACCTTCACTGGGAAGAGAAGAAATCCACGTTTGTGATGGCACAAATTATCCAAATTCCCAAATTCCCCTCCAACTGAAGCTTTCTTTTTCAATCCAACCTTGCAGTTAAATAAATAATTGATTTTTTAATTTTTTTTTTTAAATTACACTCATTTTAAAGATAAGGAAATAAGGATTCCGAGTCTCTTCCAAGATGGTGATTTCCAGAGAGTGGGACACAACTTCCCACTATTCCAAAAGGAGCAGAAATATTTAATATCAATTGAATTAGCTCACAGCTAGCACAGGACACAGCAGCAACACCTGGGAGCAAAAAGGTGGAGAAAGAAATTCAGATTTCTGTGAGAAGGAAAAGCTCCTTGGAGATAATGGAAAGGTGAGGAAAAGCGCTGAAGACGGGAGGGGGAACAAGGACAAAACTCCATCAAAACCCTACGGACCTCAGAGGGCTGAGAGATCCCATTTCAAGGGAGATTTCTGTGGATGCGGTGATCCCAAAGCCGAGATCCCAATCTGTGATAATGGGACCCACAAAGGATTTTCACCTCGATCCCAATCTGTGATGATGAGATGGACATGGGATTCACCTCGATCCCAATCTGTGATGATGGGACCAGGAGGGATTTTCACCTCGATCCCAATCTGTGATGATGGGACCCACGAGGGATTTTCACCTCGATCCCAATCTGTGATGATGGGACCCACGAAGGATTTTCACCTCGATCCCAATCTGTGACGATGGGACCCATGAGGGATTCACCTCGATCCCAATCTGTGATGATGGGACCCACNGAGGGATTCACCTCGATCCCAATCTGTGATGATGGGACCCACAAAGGATTTTCACCTCGATCCCAATCTGTGATGATGGGACCCACGAGGGATTTTCACCTCGATCCCAATCTGTGATGATGGGACCCACATGGGATTTTCACCCTGATCCCAATCTGTGATGATGGGACCCACGAGGGATTTTCACCTCGATCCCAATCTGTGATGATGGGACCCACATGGGATTTTCACCTCGATCCCAATCTGTGATGATGGGACCCACGAGGGATTTTCACCTCGATCCCAATCTGTGATGCTGGGACCCACATGGGATTCACCTCGATCCCAATCTGTGATGATGGGACCCACATGGGATTTTCACCTCGATCCCAATCTGTGATGCTGGGACCCATGAGGGATTTTCACCTCCCCTCAGAACCATTCCAGCCCCCTCCTCTCTGCTGCCAAACCCTGCACAGCCTGAGCGTTTTCATTCCTCCAACTGAAATCCCAAATTTAGGGCTTTGGACACCTGGGAATGGACGCGGTGTGAGCAGCCCTGTTCTGCCCCAATATCCATGTGCGGGTCAGAATGAATTCCCAGTGGAATTCTCAGCCCAGAATGGCCATGAGGGTTAAAAAAAGGGTGGGCAATGATAATTATGGGGTGGCAGGGGAAGGAGGAAACATTTAACCTCTAATAATGGGGTTACAGCAGAGCTCATCCTGTGGGAGACTCAGACTTCCAATGGGATTTCCACTGGGATCTCAGGTGCTGTGTGAGGGCATGCACCAGGAGCTGCCAAAAATGCACTTTTTGATCCTCCCAAAACYCTCAAGAGGCCCAAGACAATGACCAGCACAGGAAAAGAAGAAAATTCCAGCAGAACTTCCCCAAATTCAGGTGGGAATCTCCTCTCCCGCCCGCGCTGCTGAGCAACTCCTCCTCCTCCTCACTCCAAATTCCTGCACAAATTTACTCTTCCTTGGCCACCCAGCCACTCTCATCCTCTCCCTTTCAAACTCTCCTCCCAACCACTTAATTCCTGCCAGCCTGACCGCTGAATTAAAAGTGTTAGTGACGGGATTAACTGCTAATTACACAGTTATCTTAATTCCCTTTGTCCAGCGCCCTTTATCGCCCGCCTCAAACAGCTCCCGAATTTAMCACGGACAAAGAGAGGCAGAATGGATCACAGCAGCTCCTCTAATGGGATTCCCAGGCCTGGAATGAGCCTTGGGAAGAAAACCCAAAAAGAAAACCCAGCTCTAAAACCCAAATCCATGACAGATCTTGAGCTCTGAGTGTTCAATCCTGAAATGTCCACACCTCTTCCGCCGCAAAACCGCGATTTCCGAGAGCACAGAGAGCTCAGGAACGGCTTCAAAAGCTCAAAACTCACTTGAAGAGAGGGTTTTTGGGTCTCTGGGGTTTCTTCTTGGCGAAGAAAGCGGCGAATTCGCGGCCGGAGCTGGCGTAGCTGAGCTGGGCCGAGGGCTCCGAGGCCGTGCGCGTGTTCTTCATGTCCAGGTACTCGGTCAGCAGCATCTGCAACGGGGGAAAAACCGCTGGAATAAAACAGCTGGAATTGTCACCTCACTGGAATTGTCACCTCACTGGAATTCCGGGGGTTTTAGGTTCTCTGAGTGGTAAAACAAATCAAATTCGCAAAATTTTGGATGAACAGAAACACGGTTTTGTTGTCGGAATGGGATCCCGTGGACTGGCTCGGATTTGGTAAAAAAATTCGAATTTTTGGATTATTTGGAATGGTTTGGGTTGGAAGGGAGATTAAATCCCATCCAGTGCCATGGAGCAAGGAYAAATCCCACTGTCCCARGRTGCTCTRAGCCCCTGATGGTCCCAAAAAAAACTGTCAAAAAGTTCCCAAAAAGGATTCTATCCACGGTAGCCACGGGGAGAGAGCGGGTGGGTTTTGGTTGAGCTTTACCCACTGGTTATAAACATAATTAATGATAAAAAATTAATTATTGATTATAATTTTTTATGTTAAAAACATAATTAATGCTGCTAAAAGACATGGAAGTTTGTAATAATGAGCTGTGGAGTTAAAATACCTCGGTTTATAAATGCATTTAAATATTTAAATACTTCCTAGAAATTTATATGGAGAAATAGGAAATATC